GTGTGTGTGTGTGTGTGTGTGTGTGTGTGTGTGTGTGTGTGTGTGTGTGTGTGTGTGTGTGTGTGTGTGTGTGTGCGTGTGTGCGTGTGTGTGTGTGTGGGTGGGTGCGTGATGGATGTGGGGAGATTGGGTGGGATTGATGGATAGGTGGATGGATGGGTGGATGGGTGGATGGAGGGTCTAGGTGTGGATGGAAAACATCTGGACCACTGGGCAAGGAAGACAAGAGTGGTGAAGGCTGCGCAATGAAACATAAAAGGACGTAAAGCAAAATTTAGGTGGCAGACGCTAGGGAGGATACACATGATATGTTTGATGGCCATGATTGAGATTAGACCATGAAAAAGCCGTTTGCCCCAGCATCGATTGAGCCTGAGTCTGAAGCAGATCAACCCAAGACGACACTTGGCCATTCTGTTTTTATCCTAACCAGGAGCGGCTTTTGGCCGGCATCAAGGAGAATCGCAATTGTGTCGGTCTTGGACTTCAGCGACGCCCAAGGACCCCCCCATGCATGATTCTTTACCAGAAGAAGAAGCCTTAGGTCCAACGGGATCTCAAAGTGAGCTGACTACTCTGAGTCAATTACTGGTTTGTGATTTCGGTATGATTTGCCCAGCACTTCATTTCCGCACTTCTCAAAAGGTTTGGATACAGGCAAACCTACAGGAAATGGCTCCAAAACACCCTAAATCAGCTTTTCTCCAGGAGAACTTCCTGCAAACCCCCTTTGAACTTCCCTCCGGAGCCTCCGGCAGGTCTTTGACAAGCCCCGGAAAGGCGTGCGGAAGATCGTGCTGAGCGGGCGCCTGAGCGTCCGGAAGCTACCCCGCAGCCCTCAAACCATCCTGCCGAACAATCGGCGGGGCGTGCACAGCAGAGAGCGCTTACGGATACCCCCGGCTCTCAGGATGGCAGAGGTAGCAGCAGCTAGGTAAAAAGGACCTTCTGCTTGCGATCGTTTGTCTGGATACCCCGCAGCCGGAAGGTCTCCTACGGTCTCCTTCCCCAAAAGCAGACCTCTTGAAGCAGTGATGCGTGTTCGGCTTTCAAGCTAACTTGATTGTGTGAAATGCCTAAATAACATTACATATATGCATATATTTATATATATGTATACATATACATATGTGTGCATGTGATTTTACGCGGATCCCGAAGCCAAGGCTCTTGCAACAAGCCCCAAGAAGGGACGGACATCTCTCGCGCTTTTGGTCCCTTAGACATGGCCGTCGGGGACTTGCTCACCAAACATGCCCAGAGATGAGCCAAGGGCATGGATGCATTTGAGACCTCTCCTGATGCCCAGCACAAGTCCCTCAGTTCAGAGGCACCCTTCCCTTTTTTGGTTGGCTCACTCTTGTGAAGGACTACCCACACACTGAAACACCAGGGAACCACCTGAAACGCCATAAAACCCGTCCTCCCGGCACCCCCCAAGCCCAAAGCACCCCACACAAAGCCCCCTCGAAGCTCCCCCAAAAAGCGCCCCCAAAGCCCGCCCCAAGCGCGATGGTCCATGACGGTCCCCTTTACCTTTCAGGTCACTGCAATGCCTACCCCCCCCCCCACCCCCCGCAAACCCCCACACCCGCCCACGCATCCCCACCCCCCACTCCCCCCGCAAACCCCCAAGCACACCGAAAACGCACGCGCTCGGTTCGGGGTCTTTAGGCACGAACATTGCGGAGACGGGGGTGACGATCCCGGACGTGGTCTTCGTCGTGGATGCCGGGAAGGTGAAATGCCCGGGGCTTGGACTTCCGGCTCCTTGGGCCTTGGGGAAGTGGGTGGCTGTGGCTGGCAGGTGGGTGAATGCGATCGGCAAGATCACCTAGGTCCCCCAGTAGTGCCCGTTTACCCTTTTGTGGGACTAAAATAGACTACAGAAAAGTACCCTGATTCTAACCTTTCTGGAGGACCTAGTCACATTGCTGTCCAAGACCCCTTGGATTTCAACGTGAACTAAACAATCGTGGACGTGATTGTCCTATGATGTTTGTATTTCGGTTTCAAAGTACCCCCAGAAACGCTTTTAGTAGCAGAGGCTGAAGCATGGCGGTTTTGGTTTGCTTTTGGTTTCTTCTGAGAAGCACAACAACAAAGATGATCGTGGTGGTTTCCGTTTGAGTTTCTATTCTTTGGTTGTGAGAAAGTGTTTTGTACCGAACTGGGTGGGCCCGAAACCCCGTGTCAAGCACCAGCAAAGGAGCTGTTCGGCGGCAGTTAAAGCAAAACAACAGGACACCAACCCTCGATGAATAGGTCCGAGTGTTTATTTGTTGATGTTTTTTTTGTTTTTTGCATTGATCCACACTTTGCCAGGTGGAGTTCTAAGAAACCAGGAACAAATTGATCCTCTCCGGCAAATCCCGAGGTCTTTTATGATGAGCGTTTGGCCCATTTGGAGAACTTCCTGGTTTGCTGGTTAGCCAATGGGTGCTGCGATTCGATGGCATCTTCTACAAGTCGATTTGGGGAGTTTCAGAGGGTCAGGGTGCAGATTGCATTTGCCCATATGGGTGTGCTTGTTTGTTTGAGGCTTGGTACCCTTCCTGCGGTGGTTTGGAAAAGGGAACCAAAGGGAGAACCCATGCCATTGTGGGGATCCCCTCTTCAAGACGCACTCATGTTCGCTATGGCCCCGTGCATCCGGGGTCCATGCTGCCAACATCTTCGGCGAGGCCAAAGATATCACGAGCCCTCCAACACCAGCTCCTTGAAGGAGCAGTTCATCTCCAAAGCGGAGGTGTGGCATATGCCTGGGGTTTCCTCCAACACGTGTTCTTATGTTCTCACTAAGCACCAATTTTTTCGGTGTACCCCAGCTGCGGGCCAAGATGCGATATTTGATGGCGAGCTCAGGTAAAACGTGGGTCCTTTGCTTGGAGCTGCCTGGTTTCAAGTTGCTGAATTGCTTTTATTGTAGTGGCTAGGTTTGTATGTCCCTCTGAGGGGTACAACGAGCGCAACCCAAGGCCATGGGATCACGTCGCGGATGTTCCACTTGCAAAACCTGGGCATGGGATTCGGTGCATAGTGGACCCTAAATATACACCTGGGCAAAGGGCCCTGCTCACAAAATGGGACCGCTGGATGCCCACATTCACTCTGGACAGCGGCGTTTTCCAGGTCCAGCAGCGGAAAGGTCGAGCCGGGCGTGTCCGGGACGGCTTTGGCCTGCCTGCCATGTGACCGGCGCCGCAGAGCCCTGATGTCCAATCCAAAGATCTTGATTCAGGGGACTTCCCATTGCCAAGTATTGTGTTTGTTCGGTAATTTGCTTGTTTCAATCTTGTTAAGTCGTTTGTTTGTCGTGCATAGTTCCTCTTGGTTTCAAAGGGACACGAACATGGCAACGGTCTCCTTTTGGTGTCCCTTCAAATCACCTCAAAAATTGTACCCCCAACAAAAATCCACAAACCCATTTGATAAAACCAAGAAGGGATTCTAGCCAAAAAGACACCCAATGGGTTTTCCGAATTAAACCGCAAGGTTGTTCACTTTTAGCAGGGTTGCTTTCTGCTCCACACCACTGGGTTTGATTTTCGGAACTGGCGCCACGGGAGCTCCCGCCGTATCCCCGCTTGTTCGCTCCCCTCTGGTTGGGAAAGCGACCGCGATTTCTTTGATCCAGGGTTTGCATTGGTCCCGTCGGTCCTGCCAAAATCAGCCAGGCTTCACCTTGGTAACGCAGCGACGGTTCCAGCTGCGGCTTCAGGACATGGCCGTTTGCAACTGCATGTCTTCAACTTGGCTGTGGGTCAAAACCAAGGTATCCCATTTTGGGGTAGGTGCACCACCCATTTTAGAACTTATTTGAGTGGGGATTGGGATGTTCCCTGGGGGTACGGGCTTTTGACCCATGGCCATTTATGTGTTCGGGTCACATGTTAGTTGTGCGCGATTCGCAAAAGCTGCATCCCAAAAGGCCGGCGATTGGGCCGCGATTGGGGTAACATCTACATGGTTGCTGGTAAGATGGGAAGTAGTTCCCAAAATTGCTCCGCGAGAGACTCAAGACGAGATGCAGCTCTCATCCTAGATTCGATTTTGGAGTCAAGACGGGTTTGGAGAAATCTCAGAAAAAAGGCGATCAAGCAAGCTGGTGACATGCTGAACTGGACAAGTATGAAAGCCCTGGCGCAAGACCATGCCAATCTCTCAGCTTAAATGAGGCCCGGACGGGAGGCATCCTTGTGAAGTCTGGAGCCACTGCAATCTCAGCAAGTGGACCACAGGAACTCCTAGCGTCTGAATCTGGTGGCCAAGGGTCTGGATTTAGCTTTTTCAGAGAGAGAGGCAGGGAGAGAGAGAGAGAGACTCCAAGGTAGGTGTCGAAACAGGATGCCCAAATTGATTGGTTCCTAACTGGGAAAGATATGCGCTGTGTCCATTCAAGAGGACTCCACCAAACTAAACGGAAAGAAAGCACCATTTGTAGAGGCGCGCTCAACATCACAAAGGGAAGCGACTGGGGGAAGAGCAGGGTTTTAGACAAGCGCTGTGAGGGTTAAGGCAGGAGTTTGCACGGCACAATGGGTGCCTCTAGAGGTTCTGCAGACCCCAGTGGGTGCAGTCAGTCCAAAATACCTGAATGGACCCTCCAAATCGTTGGTCTCTCTTTGGTTGACTCCAAGATGGCAGGGGTTCTGTTTGGCTTCCGTTCCAAGTTGTTGACGAGGAACGTTCCGGACGCTTCTCGATCGAGGTGTCCGTTCGGTGGAAGGAGATGCCCACGCCGGAGATTTTGCGCTGCTCGCTGATGGAGCTTATGCTCTCTGCCTGGCAGCCCCAGCTGGGGGGGAGGGTGAGTTAGAGCCCATTTTGCGTAGCCATCGATCCGTTTTCGGGATATGTGTTTGCATTAGCAAAATGCAACATGTGCCTTTTGTTGCCGTCAGTACCTTATTTGGCACTCGAAGCCCTTTTTCGAGGGCACCGACCTGTTTGAGGGGAGAGGAGCCAAAGGTAAAACATTCCCCTTTTCTAGGAACGACGCTTTTTTGGGGGTGACGACCCCCCACTCTGAGGACAACCGAAGGGAGACCGAAGCGAAATTGAGTTTTGTCATCAGTCTTTGAGGGTACCCTTTTCCAGAAACTGTTTCAAGAGGAAGGGGCCCTATTTTTTGAGGCCCTGTCAAGGTTTATTCGTGGCACCGCATATGCGTGGGCTCTGACTTCCCAGCATCCGCCGCCGCTTTTTGGCGCGGCACCGGGCCCAAGTGAGGTGCTGAGCTCTGGCCTGCAGCCCAGCTGCTTTTCGGAGGCCCTGGACCCGCCCCCCAAGAGCCGCATCGACCAGGCGGGCGGACCCGTCGGCACCCGTCGGGACCCGTCGGGACCCGTTGGGACCAGTAGGAAAAGGGTGAAGAAGGGGGCAGGTAGAAAAGGATGAGGCCTCCGACTTTCTGAGTCTGCATCTTCCCCCATGCCTGGCGCTTCGCAGGCTTATCTAAAACTCGTGTCGCGGTGTGCAGGCGGTCACCACTCTACGAGCCACTGGCGCGGTGGAGGAAGGGGCCCAGAAGCTCAGAACTCGAGCCGCGGTTGGGACTGCCGGGAAAGGCCGCGACAACTGGACGTTTCGTTTGCTGTGGTGTTGTTCGCTTTCCAGGGTGGCCGTGGCTTGATGTGTTCGCAGGCTATTCCCCAATAGTGGTGTGGGGCCATTTGCAGCAAAAAACGCGACTGTGCCGGGAAAATCAAACCTACTTGTTTTTGCAATTCGCAACCCATGAATAAATCGTAAGCAAGGTTGTAGCAGTAGCAGTGCGTACCTGGTATGCACACACACACACACATGCGATCCCTTCAATCGGGCGTGTTCTCGTTGGGGCGCCTGCTTCTTCTGGGTGCTGCATAGCGGATCGAAAGACAATGCATGTTTGTTTTGTTCTTTACCTCTGGCACCTTGGCACTTCATTTCTGCGCTCATTTATGCCTCACATGATAACACGCTCCTCGATCGAAGGAAAGACGAGCTTAATGACTCTTGAAGGTCCCTGGGGGATTCAATATGAACATATCTATATGTGATTACTCCTATACTCGCGACATCTTCTGACTGAATGTGGGTTTTTGAGTACCCCTACGACCCCGTTCTATGTGCTTGAGGCCTAACGGTATCTACCCCATTTTTGGTTTCCTTTAAAACCCTAGAAAAGGCCTCAAAGACAACACGCGCATGCACACACAGGGACAGGGCCCGCGCTTGAGTCATTGAGGTTCGACCCGCCGACGCGGTGCGCTGGACCCGCGAGGAAGAGGAGACCTGGCAACTTGGCTTAGCTCGGGCCCGCGAAGGTCCCTTTGGAGAACATTTCAATTAGGTATCTTTGAATGATAACAACACATTATACGTTTTAAAACACTGATTTTATATTTGTTTCTTATGGGTTGCATGAATCCTAGTTGTTTTTCCTGTCCACTGAAATACCAAGTTTTGAGGGCCCGAGCTGGTTCAACTGGCGGATAGGGGCTGAAGTGGCACCCTAGGGCATGGGATCTAAACCTATACACCAATACTAAACCTACACTAAATCAATGTGACCAAACCTGCTGGCCTTTGACCTGCAGGTTCCTTCAGGAGATGCGTTGAGCCAAAATGACGAAAGGGCGAAAGAGATGGTGAATCCAAGAGATGTGGTGGAAAACGGTAGCATCAGGCTTGTTGGCTTGTTGGCTTGACTTGGCAGCCAAGATGCAATACTTCACCTCTTCTTGTGTTGTAGCAAGGCATGGAGGTCCTTTTTCGCCAGCTTCTGGAGGGCCAGGCTCGGCCACACATGGCCCAACATAAAGCGGTTTGGATGTTGGGCCCAGGGGCCAGGCGGTTCCGCTCGCCGGGACACCACGAGTCCAGAAAATCGCCCCTATCTTGGATAGGTGGTGTCCACATGGCAACTGGGAGTTGCATCGCCTCACTCCCTCTAGGTGTTCCATCATCGACTCGTCAACTGGTCCGAGGTATGTGGTGACACCGGTGGGCCCGCGCCTTAGAATACGACCTTAAGCATTGGGTGGGTACGTGCTTGTTTGAGGCTCGGTACCCTTTTAAGAAAGGAAAGAGGGGGGTCCAAATCCCTATCTTGACGCGGACACCCGTATATTTTGAGGGTAGCGCAGCGCCCGTTAAGCCAACAGGGTGTTTCCCCCAAGCCCAGCGGGGTGCTTCGCATGTGAGCTGATGGGCCAGAACCAGTCAATCGCAGCTTGGCTATTGCAAGATGTTTTCTTTTCTTTTTTCTTTGTCAAAATGGGTGTGGCTCAAAATTAAACAGGAGGGGTTACGCACGTTTTGCTCCATGTTTGGCCCTATGTTGGATCCCGCAAGCTTGGGCCGCTCTTATTCTGCTAAAGTACGCTAATTTAGCAGGGCTTCTAAACGAAGAAATGCCATTTGAAACATGACCGTTGGTACCGTTTCCACACCAAGAGGACACCATTCTGTCTTTCTTGGCAAGGCCTTTGCTTGGCGCGCTTGCCCTGCGATGTGCGTCTGGGCAAGCCGGGTGCTCAGAACGCGCTCACATAGAGATTCGGATGCCTGGGGATTTCGCCGAGGTAGGCAACCACCCCCCATTCTAGACACACATTGCCGCATACACAGCTTCTCTGAGGCTACACACACTCTGGATCCATCGAAGTGACCATGTGTAGAGCGGTTCCTGAAATTTCTGTTGGGTCCTGCTGGTTTCCCTGCACACGACCAGTACTCCGGGCAGGTGGGTAGAAGAAGCACAGATGGCCGAATACCACAGTTGTTTCTCCAGTCGCCCTCCGGATAGGCTTTCATACACTTATTTCTCAGCACCTCCACCTTGTTCTTGTACCTGCAGGAAGGAATCCCCCTTCTTGTTGTGAAGGCCTCCTGCTAAAAAGTTGCCAGAGCAGCATTTCTCTTCAGTGGCTTGGTTCCTAGTCTCCTTTTCACGGTTCTCTTCGCGTTTTTCCATGGTTCCTCACTCCCTGAGTTCTTGGACTTTAGATTTCTTTTTTGGGAAGACCATGTTGGTAAACAAAAACACAAACAAGTGTTTTTGGGGAAGACCATTTTGGTAAACAAACCAAGTCCCTGGACTTCTTCTTTCGGCCCATCCCAGGAAAAAGCGCTTTGTCGGCTTTTCGATGTGTCCCCATGCTGACGTCCGAGGATGGTGCTCTACGCCGCCCTCTTCGGCGGCGTGGAGGCCGCAAGGAGCTCGGCGTGTGCGGGGCTCCGCGGCTCCGCTGGGCGGGGCTGGGCATTGAGAAGGGGCCAAAAGAGGTCCGTTTTTTCTTGTGGTTTTTTGAGGAAGCCCGATCCAGGAGAGGTCTTGCTTGGTTTCTTGAGGAAACCCGACAAGAGTACTCCAGCGGATGTTGCACATGGGATGGTGAGTGTTGGGTTGCTTCGCACTGGCCTTTACTTGCGCCCAAGTGAGACACATGGGGAATGGGCATCAAACTTTGGTACACAGAAAGGGGGGCCCGGCGATTTTCCGAAGTCCTTTGCAAAGTGGCGGTGGTCGTTTTGCTATGGCTCGGTTCGTGTGGGGTTGGTTTTCCGCGGCTGGCTGCTCTTTCGGTCTTGGTCTTTCCGAGCAACCCGGGACCGGTGCTCCGTTGGGTTTCGTCAGTCAGAAGACAGCCAGCAATCTCCAGAATCCAGAGACATGGCCATGGGGCACAACCTATGGCTCCATTTGGGGTGGATGATCATCCATTTGTCACCTATTTTGATGTTCACCAGGGGTACAGGGTTTTGACCCACAGCCATCAGTGTGATCTCCGTCTGATGTTTGCCCCTTTGAGCAGACCTGAGTTTGCCCCCAACGCATTCGGCCCTGGTTTTCCAGCAGGACTCCTTTCTTCTTTCATTTATTTCTGGGTAGGGTTGTGGTACAAAGCAAGCAGCACACTTACAAGGAGCGCTTTTTTGAGTATGTTCCGCAACAAGGCCCGCTCGCACTCAAAAGTACGCTCTTGTTTCAGAAAGACAGCCAACTAAAACACAACAACCAGCCCAACCTAGAGTTAAACCCCGAAAAGTTTGCCACTCTGTGTCCAAGTCCATCTTGAGGCAATCAATGAGTATGTGACAAATCATATTGGAGGCCCCAAACATGGTGTTGTTCCTGTTGGTTCCCTTTGAACCAACCTGAAAAGGGTTCCCTTAACAAACACAAAACACGCACATGCATATACACTACCCGGAGAATAGATGGCACATTTACGACGTATATTTTTAAGTAGATGGCACGGTGTGATTTGAAAATGCCAATTCACAGTTGGCACATATCTTCAATTATCCGGCGAATTGTGCCATCTACTGGCTCAAAAAATCAGGGAATATCCAGGGGGTCAAAAACATTGTGCCATCTACTTTGCAAACATGTCCGCCGACCCCTTTGGCTCTTCTGTGAGTGGATCGGAGTGAAGTGGGAGTGGAGTGGCGTGGCGTGGAGTGGCGTGGGAGTGGGGTGGAGTGGAGTGGAGTGGAGCGGAGCGGAGTGGAGTGGAGCGGCGTGGAGTGGGGTGGAAGACGTCGGGGGGGACTGCGAGGCTTTTTCGGTCCTCTACATGGGTCTCCCGTTCCGGGCCAGCCGGAGCAAGAGCGTTAATTAAACTGCAAACATCACGCATATGTGTTCGGACTTTCTTAAAGGCTCATTTCATTTCAAACTTTGTGATTACGACTCACTCCATTTCCATCGTAACAATTCAGACCTACTGATTCATATTATCAGCCGACATCAGCCGACCAAACACTTAGAAACGTTTGGAAAGGACAGCGGTGCCCAAAAGGAAGCTGCGGCTTCGAAGTGTTAGTTACGCGATTCCTGAGCATCGACAGTTCTGAGTATCGATAGGTTGTCTTTTTCCATTTGGATTCTCTAAAGCGAACTCCGCGTTACACATTGCTTAAGAACCGCAAACAGCTTATCCTCCTCCCGGGCTTCCTGGGACCCTGAGAGCTGAAACTTGGTGAGACTCTTCCCCGACTGCGCCGAGCC